GGGATGAAAACAAGGCATGTCAGGTATCTACAGGATGCTATGCCGTGCAAAATCAACATAAAACCTATCGCAACTTCTTCAGGCACCAAGTGTACTAACATTTCACGAAAATGTTTTGCATTTCCTTGGTCCAATAATTATTTTTTGTCCATATTCACTGGGGTGGGGGGGGGGCACATTGGGTGGACTCAAGTCAGCGTCAGTATACAAAGTGACGCCCCTGGTCCTGGGACATGCAAACAACGGGAACAACGGGAAAAGACCCTGCATACGGCACGGCGATTCATGAGACTGTGAACAGGAAGACGGTACAGCAGCCAGCGTGTTGAGGACATTGTGTGTTGGGCCAGCACTTGAGCGTCATTGCTTCCCGGCCGGTCGACGTTTTAAAATGGACCGAGCAACCAAACGGACTTTGAGTCGAATTTGACATAGCATTGGCCTCCGTGGTGCTTTTGGTTAGCGTGTTCAGCAGTTAACCGGAAGGTTGGTGGTTTGAGCCCATCTGAGGGCATGCCACGCTGGCCAACTTTGAAGAAATGAAATTGGTGTATTGCTGGACAACGGGGGTTTCATCACCAATCAGTATGGTGACCGTTCGTGCCGAAAATCAACATCACGCCGAACCCCTGACGCGCCCGCCGCCAAAATATCTCAAATGAGAGGGATAAGCACCTCAGACCCTTACTGAGTGGAACATCGCTGTGCGCGAGATGCGTGCGGCTATGGCCTCTGGGGTGCGCGCGACGTTTTAACATTTGCTCGGGAGCGAAATCAATTTGACCCGGAAAGGTTTCACGGAAAGGATTTCTAAACGGCGCGACATAGCCGCTAAATTTTGCATAGCTGTAGACAACTGACCAGCAGATTGTTTAGTATGCATCTCTATGATAGTTCCTAGGCGACACAATAACTGGATTAACAAATTTCACTGACCTGGGGTCAGGGCCAAAGGTCAGATTCAGGCATAAACAACCTGTTTCATTACCCGGCGCTTATTAAATGCAAAAAATCAAAACAGTTCTTTAGCATTTTGGTCACTATGACCTTGGAAAGTTCATGCAAGGCTGCTAACCTTACGTGAGCACCAGTGACCTTTTCCTTAGAGCAAATGGTGGTCGCATGAGAAGGTCTGGATCACTTTGGACATATGCCTGGAATATAACCTTGTGTGACGTTATTTAACCCTAAGATCGTGATCTAGGAACCTCAAGCTGTGACAAAAATACATTCAAGTACAGACCAACACACCCTGTAAATTTAGTGTCTCTAGGTCCTATTTTCTGAGACCTCTGGGAAGTGGGGGGGATCAGATTGACCAACACCAAAATGAAGAGCATGCAACCGGCCTCCCAGGCGCGCGTTAATCCGACTGTGGAAAACATGTCCACATGTATCTGTCCAAGCGCGATCCATCTGGCCAGTGTACGTTTACGTTACGTTACGCTACGTTTACGTTTGCGTTTACATTTACGTTTACGTTACGGTGGCATCCTCCATACACCCAACACGTTTGGCTGTTAGTAATACAATTTTTGTTTTCATCCGCGATTCGTTTCATTACATTTACTCTTGACCCGACCAGAGCGATACTGCTGTTTTTGAAAAATGCCTTTGGTACATTGGTGTTCAGTCGAGCGTTGATCTAAACTGCCCCATATCGCCGACACAGCCCAAACGCAATGTACACTGTTGGCATACTGCTGTTGTGAGCACTATTACCCAGTGGCGGACAGAAATAAGCCGAGATTGATGGAATCGCAGTTACCATTAAGTTTAGCGATTGTGCTGTAAGTACGGCCTGAAGATAACAAAACCGGTGAGACCATTTTCATCTGCGACAGACCCCTAAAAGCTGAAATGATTTCATTTTTATATAGATAAGGCAGTAGCATTAGCCTTATTCCTCGGGGAAAACCAAGAGAATGGAGATAACGTTGGGTTGATATTTCAGCAGAATGCCTTTATCCAAACAATAACTGAGGTGTGTTGCCGCTTCATACACTTCGGCCATTGTTTCGAAAAAAGACGTATTGCCAAAATGTTACCCGACTACATCTCCATTCTCCTGGATTTTCTCCAAGGAATAAAGCTAGCACCACCGTCCTACGTATGTGAATAATGTTCCTTGCCAATGCACTGAGCAACTTAGGGAATTCCACTTTTGCGTTCGATCGTCAGGTACTACGCTTCAACTCAAACCGCTGCCGCAATTCAAGTACCAGTGGTGAGTTGTCTGCTCACATACGGCCCATACCAGACCGATTTTGACCGACCGACCAACCGACTGCTGCATAAGGAGAACATCCCTGCAATAGCCGAGTATAACACACGTATCTGAAGCAGGACAAAGCCCTTCTTTCTATGTATCTAACTACAAGGTAAGGTTTGGCAGCGCAATCTCTGGTCAAATCCTTTGAATTCATTGGCAGCCGTTCTGAAATCACCTGGCTAATTGAACGGGTCCGGTTTCGCGTGGGCCATGCGCTGTTCTGATTGGCTGGCGGTGCGACCTCGCCCCATTGGTCCATTGGTCACCGCTGTCTCGTGGGGAATTGAATATAAGATGCCGGAGAGGCGGCACCAGCATTGCAGTCGGCGGTGGAGCAGCACAGCGTCGACCACGAGGCGATCTCCTCCCGGGACAAGCACCGAGTGAGTATCACGCTGCTGACCTCTCAGCGGTCAGAACACACACGTGTAACAATCCGAAAGACGCTCTTACGTGTGCACATTTCAAATGAATTGTCTTGGGAGACGGACGTCTAGTGCCGTTATGAGAGTGCCTTAACACGCGCTCTGGTGGAGGGTCAAATTGACCCTCGAAGGTTTTCCAGAATGCTTTCCCAACGGCGCTGCGCAGCTGCGCCACATTTTGCATAGCTGTAGACAATTGAATAGCGGATCGTTTGGTTTTTAAAAATTCAAATGCACCTCGTAAGGCCACTGACCTACAGTAGGTCAAAATAGGGCATGGATTCTGCGAAGTCAATCTCTAGGGAGTCGTTCAATTTGATGCAACATAGGAGTGTTAGACGAGAACGTGCATCTCTGAGATACTTTCTTAGGCAACACAGCAGGTAAATGAGCAAATCTGATTGACCTAAGGTCAGTTTTGAAGGTGAAGCCAAGATCAAAGCCAATCTGTTTTAGTTCTTTGGGACTTGCTACATGGGATAGTGTCTGATGCTCATTCCAAATGTATTGATGTTATGAGCCGCATTATACATCTTCCATGCATTTCTCAAATATCAGAATAGGTCACCGACCTAAAATGACTCAGGCCAACATTTTGCTTATCGGAACACACTACCCAGCGTAATTTTTGTCGCTTATTCAGATGCAAAACTCAAAGGAGCCCGGTACGATTTTTGTCGCCATTGCCTTCGAAAGGTCAAGCAAGGTAACTGGCATTAAAGAATCTTGCGGTCTTTTGCTTAGAATAGGTATCTAGGTTCTGAGGGCACTTAGTAGACCAGCCTGGAGATTGATCTTGTTCGACCTTACTTGAACCGAAGATCATGACCTAGGGGTCTCAAACTTTGACCTAAATGAGTCTAGGTACAGGCCAACACATCCTGTGAAGTTGGTGCCTCTCGCTCTCTTAGCTGCTGAAATCTCAGGGGAGTTCAAATCAAGCCCCACACGAGCGAATGGTATCAAGCCGGCCACGCGAGCGCGTGTTCAAGTTCATTTTTAGTGCTTAACAACGAAAAGTGTACAGGTATACGTGAACGGGCATGCTTGTCGTAATGTAAGAGGCTAAGTGGACGTTTGTCATCTCATGGTGCATACGAAGCAACTGTAAGCAGCCGTTCAGTGAAATATTAATTACTTCTCATAATGAGCAGCTCCATAGCAGCCAAGCCGACATTAGCACAGCTTCCAACCAAGCTGCCATTGTCACTCCCAGTTGACTCAGTAAGTCATGGTCCTTACACACAGTGGCCTAAAAGGGCTTTCCTTGTACTGTACTCATTCTATGCTATGCTATGCTACGCTATGCTACGTATTTTTGCTCATGCTATGAGCTGACTAACGCTGCCACTGTTCTGCAATTGACGATTTATGTGTTGTGGTGAGCTGTAGTTAAATCACGCCTGGAAAAATTTCATTGAGAATAAGCTGTGCTGCTACAAACATCTTTGTCAAATGGCTTAATAGGATATACTGCGTTTTGCAAGGAATTTGGATCGTGGTTTAAATTCATCATTGATATTCTCAGCCGCACGAGTCTTTAAATGGAACGCCATGCATCAGATCAAGGTTTCATTTTACTTCCACAGAACTGAGGTTCGGAGCCTTTGGAAGCTTTCTTTACAGCTAAAATCCATGTTTGGCATAGAGCTTTCTGGTAATGTTCGCCCCGGAATTATCACGCACACATTAATAACCATGGAAGCGGCCGAGACCTTTCGGTTTGGTCTGGTTGGTAGTCAAGCTTTCATGGTTTGGGATCGAATGCTCGAGGCCCTGTCCTGCGAACAGTAAACACACCACGGTCACCGTCATCTTGCCCCGAGCCACTGCTGCGTGACCAGATGGTCTTAACCAGACCCACACAGAGGTGGGAGGGAGGCGGGATGGTGTACTGAGGTACAGTCTACCAGCTCGGCTTCCACCAGCGGGGTGCTGGTGCAGCTTCGGCGTAGATTTCACCGGTGGACGGTATTGGCTGCGGCCTTGCTAACCCTCATGCAATGACAGGACAATCTACCCTTCAGGTGGTTGCCGTAAACCTGATTCTTACTATTGAAAAATACATTTTTCAACAGCCACAACATAATTATGGAACATTATTCCGCTATATGCTTCGAACGCAGCGCACTGCACGTAAACTAAGGCTGTCCAACATGAGATGTTTGCAATCTGACCATTATCCCACAATATCACTGGTCCGACTTGAGTCTGACCTTGGCTTGACCTGAAACTGGCCTGACCTTAACTTGACCTTGCCATCTGACCCTTGTCTGACCCAGACCTGTTCTCGTTTCAGGCTCATGACTCGTCACGTATCCGCTGTCAGCGCCAGCGTCTGGCTAGCTGTCATCGTCTGTTTCGTCTTCTGCTGGTCCTTCAGCAACGCCAGCATGCACAGGGAGGACGCCGAGAGGTCGGTAACTCCGTGTGTGTGTGAGGAAGGAGGAGCAGCTGGAAAAGTTTGGGCTTCAGGTTTTGCTTTCGAAGGCAGACAGCTGTCCTGGCAACTGTATGATCCCCACGGGACTCAGTTTAATGCACTTGTTCATGGTTTGTCATGCTTTGCAACTGGGTGTAGTGAAGTCCAACAATATCTTGATTTAATATATCTTTGTCGATAGTGTAAACAGCTGTGTTTATTTACTATCAATAGCGCATTAGGTCATAACTACAATGCTGTGTTGCTGCTGTCTGAAAACGACAAGTGGCTGTTGTCTGGCCTACGACTCTAGCATGGCTTGTCTCATGATTGCCTACCTTTAGCAACTGCTGATGAGGTACTGGCTGGTACGACACTAGTACGACATAGGAAATCTTGCAGATTCTTTGCATATGACCGGCTGTGTTACAAATAGAAATGTAACTTCATTGTGATTAAAAAATGCATGAACCTCTTTCACTGGGCTAGGGTACACCACGGGCACCATGCAAAATAATGTATGCGCAGCCAAGAAGGGATGGGGTTCCATGTCTCCCACCCCTAACCTCGAACGTTGTATAGGACCTTAGATGGTTAGGGGCAGAAAACTTAAATAATGATGGCTAGCTATTACTGACCTTCCCTAAAAAAATTATGCACCCTTATTGGGATATGGAACAGCGCGACGGAGGTCCTATGTCAGGAAGACAAGTTTTCGTAGATTTCCACAATGTTGAATTAAATGCCAACCAAACATGTATCCGGCATAGTGAAATCTTCTCTTGTTTCGGCGATTCATGCCTCATCATCTAGCACCATTCGGTGGTACCGTATCAGTATGTGTGGCGCAGTGAGTAGGCATGTAAGGGGGAGGCATGTTTCAGTTTACTCGCCGCACATCTTGTACGTAATTTTTCCCATAATGCCATCCTAGATGCATAACGTTTTGATGCACACTGATCTATATCCGGCTCCGAATCATTTCCGTAATGCGGTTGATCGCATTGAGTGCCCGATTGACGCTAATCTCCACTGTGCAGGAATTCATGGGCGGACGATGTGCAGAACGTCCAGAGCGACCCCTACGTCAGCGAGCTGGTCAGCCGGCTACGCACGCTCGACGATGCAGAAGAGACTAACCTCGCCCAGTACGAACTAGATAGATATTTCCGAAAACACGTGCCGTTTTTCCACCTGTACAACAATGTGCCGGCCACACCTGCTGCGGCGCGGTCCGTATACGCCGGGTAGGTCGCCAAGGCTTCAATAGATGTCGCTGCCTGCCGCCTGCCTATTCGAGCATCGTGGCCAGGCGAAGAGAGGACATCGCAGTAGAGAGCAATTGCATTTTACCTCGGTTTTACGGACCTACGAGGCGAAATGGTTAGGATCGAATGCGCTTAACCAATTGCTTTTTATGTGAGTTGCTTATCCCTGCTTTATTTGAGGGTGATGAATGGCGTTGTCGGCGACCGATGTTTCACACGAGACATTCTTTTGATTACTATTGGGTTTTGATCTATACCTTAAATGGGCAACAATTTAAGTAGCATACCATAACTCGAAAAGCACACATGTTTTAAGCTATCGTCACGTGTCCTATCTCATTGGGAAGCTCACACGTAAACTACATGCGTTGCTTGAGTGGAAAACTTATACGTTAAAAGTTACGAAATTCAGTTCTTACGGCCCAATCCAGAGAAATCAAATCACGCGCATAATTTTAAAATGTGCTGAATGTCCAACGCGTACCCTGTCTATAGCGCAGCAAGAGCGCAGCTTTCAACTTCTGACTGGCGTTTTTCTCCTCAGCAAGCGCGGGCTGGACTTCGGCCTGGGCCGTGGCTTCTCGGCCACGCAAGCGGCCAAGCTCAAGATGGGCCTGGCGGCGGCGGCCTTCCCGGGCGGACCCGGCCGCCGGCGACGCTCCGTCGAGTAGACGCTCCATCTGTAAACTCTGACCTCCATCTGACGTGCCCCCCTCTGCCCCGGCGGTTCCGTATGGAGCTGACGGCACCAGCTGGAGCGTCTCCCAGTCAGCCTCGGCGGACTGGATCCGGTGGTCATGTGTGATCAGCTGACTCCGACGGGATGGACCGCCTCGGGTCTATGAGCCAACCAGGAACATGCCTGGGAGCTTGCTGAAGAGGCTGGAGATGGTGTGATCAGTGGTGGAACCGCCTGAGCCTCAGTTGAACCCGCAGGATCAGCTGCTCCCGCTGATCCGCATGGCTGCTGGTCAGTCACTTCTCCGCCAGCCAAAAGTTTGCTGATTGTTTACTCGCGCACGGGACGGCCCTATCGTTTTCACCATGTCGGAACCATATACTGAGAGTTGTTGATCAGGATTGTGTGATGTGTACCATTCACTTTGCTGCGCCTCACCTAACGTCAAGTGTAGCCGTCATTTGGAAGCCGTGTTTTACGTGATTGGGCATCTCTCGCAGTCACTTCAATTGGGGATATGACTTGAACGTTCACATGGCTCTAACGTCTGCAAAATCAGTAGCGACACCGATCTATGTGGAGGCCAGTTTTGCCACGTCACAATTTCGCAATGGGCAGCACCATACAGGCGCCACCGTGAGACAAAGTTGTTCGGTGATTAAAACAAATATGTAGAGCATTTTGCCTTTTATTGCAAATACAAATATCACCTCGTGGACACTGTGTTTTAATGAATAACCATTATCATCATTTGCGACAAAGGAGCAGAGCTTGCATGATGGTAAGCTACGGATGACCGTCAGCTCTTAAGCAAGCGTGCGGCGGACAGGCAGGCCATAGCGATGGAGCACTCTTCAGCGCCCAACAACACATCAGGTGCTCTTAATGCGGTGATAACATGCTGCATCGTTACGATATCCGTGTTCGGTGTACAGCTCCTCAACTTTAGGCCATCTGATCTTCAATGGATCTAAGGTCACATGATCCTGCCGGCTGAGATCAGCCACAATGGGAACGCCCCAGTGCATTTATCTCTGAATACGCTGCCAGTGCGTTATTACACAATTCCCAAGACGGTTACGCAGTAAAGATGCGTGTATAGAAGAGCGCGCCTACCAGCGGACCCATGATATACTTCCTGCGACGGCTGACAAGACCCACTAGCACACACTAGCAGCATTAAACAACACACGCGACACGCGTATCCCATGCCACTTTCTGGTGACATCCAGCACAGAGGAGCAGATGGAGGGTCTCATTGGTCGTATTTTGTGATCTTGTAGAAATCGCAGAACAGCGAATATAATGGTTTTTATTTCTATTGTTGGGTTTTCACATAACATTCACCTATAATTCATTTTCCTACATATTTTTCGCCGCAAATCACCCTTTTCAGCTCGGTCCATGATGAGCCGAAAAAATGAAATTCCGCTGCGGAATTCCAAGTGCTATGTGAAAGGAAAGGGGCAGACTAGATGCTAAAAGCTAAGGCTAGATGTATCTTACATTTCAATATCCGCGGATGTGTTCCGGCCGCTGTGCGCGTCTTGGAAGAGAACAAAGTACCAGGCGTGCAATTTTCCATTTGATAACGCCAACATGCCAACACAAATTTTGCCGCGGCCACGTTGTTGCGAGAAAAGTCAAAATTGAGAAACGGACGTTTTTTTATTCTCGAATGAGGGTCAATAGCAAATTTAGCACAAGTACAAAACGGTTGAATGTTCTCTGCCGGGTGACGCGTTTTGCACGAGATGGCCATTTTTCAACAAAATTTCACGTTGGTTGTACCTAACTGAAAACCTATCGGCACTGGACAGTTTATGTTACACCATAGCACGGCGAAGGCAATTCTGCGTCAAAACAGGTGTAACGCAACACCTGTGCAGAATTTCAAAACGGCCGGTTTTGGGTAATAAAACGTTCCAAACTCATATCTCTCGAAACCAATGAAAATAGAAGGCTGCTTTTACGTGCAAATGATGTAAAACGATGTTACCACATGTTGACTACATTTTTGATCCCCAGGTGATGACGAAAAACTTAAGGCGTGACCATTTTACGAAAAAATGAAAATGTTCCGAACGCGATTTTTCATTTCAGAATAAAAGGACATGGTCCATTCAGTGTGTAAATGCAGCGGCAAGTGTTTCTGTGTTTGCAAATAGTTTCTGCAGCAATTGTAAATTCCACATCGAGCGCCATTTGTGAGTGTTTTTTCTCATATAACTGAAAAACTATACATCCGTTAATTCCTTAAGTTACACCATCGTGTTTGCCGTGCGATTACGCGTCGAATGACTTATAATAAAACATGATTGCATCACTGGAAGCATGCAGCATTCTTGATGCGCGCAAATTGCCATGGTTTTGTTTCTGAGGCCTGCTCCGTTTGAAAGCAGATTGCCGGTGCAAACGATACACAATGGTGGAACAAACATTCAGTGGCATTGTTGTCAACATGCCAATGAACGCGAATCTCGCCGCGGCCATTTTGTTGCGAAAAAGTCAAAATACAGAACGGACGTTTTTTCGTCTCAAATGAGGGCCAATAGAAAATTCAGCACGAGTGCAAAGCGGATGCATGTTTTGTGCCGGTTGACGCGTTTTGCACGAGATTGTCATTTTTGGCGAAAAATTCACGTTGGTTGTACCTAACTGAAAACCTATCGGCACTGAGCAGTTTATGTCACACCATAGCACGGGAAGGCAATTCTGCGTCAAAACAGGTGTAGCGCAACACTTGTGCAGAATTTGAAAACGGCCGTTTTTTGTACTAAAACGTTCCACACTCATATCTCTCGAACCAATGAAAATAGAAGGCTGCTTTTACTTGCAAACGATGTAAAACGATGTTATCACCTGTTGACTACGTTTCCGATCACCAGGTGATGACCAACAATCTTGGGTGCGACTAAAATTTCGAAAAAATGAAAATTTTCCAAACGCGATTTTTTTCATTTTAGAATCAAAGGGGGCATGGTCCATTTAGTGTGTAAATGCGTCAGCAAGTGTTTCTGTGCATGCAAACGGTTTCTGCAGCAATTGCAAAATGTACATCAAGCGCCGTTGGTGAATATCTTTTTCCAATAACTTAAAAACTATACATGCGCTAATTTTTTAAGTTATAACATAGTGTTTGCCGTGCGATTACGCGTCGAATGACCTATAATAAAACATCATTGCACCACGGGAAACATACAGCATTCTTGATGCGCGCAAATTTCCATGGCTTTGTTTCTAAGACCAGCTCCGTTTGAAGGCAGATTGCCGGTGCAAACGATACGAGATTTGTGTTCACTTACATGTTGACAACAATGCCACTGAATGTTTGTTCCACCATTGTGTATCGTTTGCACCGTCATTCTGCTTTCGAACGGAACGGGTCTCAGAAATCAAAACCCTGGAAATTTGCGCGCATCAAGAACGCTGTATGTTTCCAGTGGAGCAATAATGTTTTATTATAGGTTATTCGACGCGTAATCGCGCGGCGAACACGATGGTGTAATATAAAAAATTCACGCATGTATAGTTTTTCAGTTATTTGAAAAAAACACTCACAAACGGCGCTTGATGTAGATTTTGCAATTGCTGCAGAAACTGCTTGCATGCACAGAAGCACTTGCTGATGCGTTTACACACTAAATGGACCATGCCCTTTCATTCTGTAATGATAAAATCGCATTTGGAAAATTTTCACTTTTTTCAAAAAAATAGGCACGCTCCAAAAATTTTGTCATCGCCCGGCGATCAAAAATTTGGCCAAACAGGGGGTAACATTGTTTTACATCGTTTGCAAGTAAAAGCAGCCTTCCATTTTCAATCGTTCGAGATATATGAGTTTGGAACGTTTTACTATTCAAAAAACGGCCATGTTCAAATTATGCACACGTGTTGCGTTACGCCTGTTTTGACGCAGGATTGCCTTCCCGTGCTATGGTGTGACATAAACTGTCCAGTGCCGATAAGTTTTCAGTTAGGTGCAACCAGGGTGAAAATTTATTGTAAAAATGGCCATCTCATGTAAAACGCGTCAACCGGCACAGAACCTGCATCCGCTTTGTTCTCGTGTTGAATTTGCTGTTGGCCCTCATTTGAGACGAAAAAACGTCCGTTTCTGAATGTTGACTTTTTTCGAAACAAAATGGCCGCGGCGAGACTTGTGTTCACTTGCATGTTGACAACAACGGGACTGAATGTTTGTTCCACCATTGTGTATCGTTTGCATCGGCAATCTGCTTTTAAACGGAGCGGGTCTCAGAAACAAAACCATGGAAGTTTGCGCGCATCAAGAGTGCTGTATGTTGCCAGTGGTGCAATCATGTTTTGTTATAGGTCATTTGATGCGTAATCGCACGGCGAAGAGGATGGTGTAACTTAAAAACTAGCGCATGTATAGTTATTAAGTTATTTGAAAAAACACTCACAAATGGCGCTCGATGTAGATTTTCCAGTTGCTGCAGAAACTGTTTGCATGCACAGAAACACTTACCGCATCATTTACGCACTAAATGGACCATGCCCTTCCATTCTGAACTAGAAAAAATATCATTTGAAAATTTTTTTCTCTCGAAAAAATGGTCACGCCCAAAATTTGTGGTCATCACCCGGTGATCAAAAATGTAGTCAACAACAACATTAATAGTCACAGGAGTTAATAAAGTAATTAATAATAGAGGAGAGGGGTTGCGAGCTGGGCAGCCAGGCGGCGCTACTGCAAAGAATAGAAAAATACTTCATGCTTTGTATCTTTTTTTGATGAATTGGAATGAGAGTAAATATGAGTATTTCACCATTTACCAGGGGATAGTCAATAAGCTGCTCTTCTAGCCCACTTCTCACGCCGCGAAAATAAGGAGCGACGAAGACAATGGGCTGCCATCCTGCGGGGTACAAGCAAAAGGTGGCCCCACGTTCACGGCGAGGAAGAGTCGCCAACTAAAAAAGTCACATGGCTTCTAGCCAAATGCCATTAAAGTGGAGAAAGGCCGA